GGCGGGGCTGGGGGCGTGGCCGGGATCATGTCAAGGAGTCCCTATTTGGGGTGTGGGCGGGGTTAGGGCTGAGGGGGCGGGGCTTGAGCGCTCCCAGCGACTCCCAGATCCAGCTGGGGGTGGGGCTTAGCAGAGTGGGCGGGGCCAGGACCCTCCCAGTGACTCCCAGGTTGTGATGAATGGGTTGGGGGCGGGGCTTAGTGTTGTGGGCGGGGCTTGGAAGGATCCCAGTGACTCCCAGTTTGTGCTGGATGGGATGTGGGCGGGGCTTAGTGGAGTGGGCGGGGCTTATGAGTCTCAGTGACTCCCAGATCCTGCTCAGGGCGGGGCTTAGTGTGGTGGGCGGGGCTTAAGAGCCTCTCATGACTCCCAGATCCTCCTGGGGCGGAGCTTAGTGGAGTGGGCGTGGCTTATGAGACTCTCAGTGACTTCCCAGCTGCTATTGGGGCGTGGCTTAGTGAAGTGGGCGGGGCTTATGAGTCTTTAAGAGACTCTGCGATCCAGCTGTGGGCGGGGCTTAGTGAAGTGGGCGGGGCTTAGGAGCCTCTCAGTCACTCCCAGCTCCTGCTGGGGGCGGGGCTTAGTGAAGTGGGCGGGGCCAGGACCCTCCCAGTGACTCCCAGTTTGTGATGAATGGGTTGGAGGCGGGGCTTAGTGGAGTGGGCGGGGCTTAGGAGACGCCCAGTAATTCCCAGATCCTCCTGGGGCGGGGCTTAGTGAAGTGGGCGGGGCTTGGGAACCTCCCAGTGACTCCCAGTTCCCATTGGATGTGCTGGGGGCGGGGCTAAGTGTGGTGGGTGGGGCTAAGGAGCTTCCCATGACTCCCAGATCCTGCTGGGGGTGTGGCTTAGTTAAGTGGGCGGGGCTTACGAGTCTTTAAGAGACTCTGCGATCCAGCTGGGGGCGGGGCTTAGTGGAGTGGGCGGAGCCAGGACCCTCCACTCTGTGATCCAGCTGTGGGCGGGGCTTAGTGAAGTGGGCGGGGCTTAGGAGCCTCTCATGACTCCCAGCTCCTGCTGGGGGCGGGGCTTAGTGAAGTGGGCGGGGCCAGGACCCTCCCAGTGACTCCCAGTTCGTGCTAAGTGGGCTGTGGGTGGGGCTTAATGAAGTGGGCGGGGCTTGGAAGGGTCCCAGTGACTCCCAGTCCGTCCCAATCCCTACTGGATGTGATGGGGGCGGGGCTTTAGTGGAGTGGGCGGGGCTTAGGAGCCT